TGAACAGTTGGGGATTGCTTTTAAGAAATAACTACTTACTAGGAGCATGTCTATGGTGGCGATTTGCATAAGTCAATTACTGTAAGTTGCATGTTTTTTGATAGTGGGAGGAAACCCACGCGAGCAGGGGAAAAACATGTAAACTCTGCAAAGAAACATCAGCTTGCTTGGTATGGACTAAAACCAGTGACGTTTTTGCTGTGAGGAAACAGTGCTAACCACTGGGACACCGTGCCACCCATCTAGGAAAGGAGGAGGAGTAGGGGTGGAAGGGGGGATTCTTCAGAACGAATATGGCGGTAAAATGGAACTTAGGGTATTTATGGTGACTTAGGATTCATTTGATTGGTGAATCATATATTGGCTAATGCATGACCAGCTGTGTTCAATCATAAGCACGTGATCCTCTCGAAATTAGTTTATAAATAAACTTCACTTAGGTGATTCAAACAATCTTTTCTAGCCATATCAACTTACATCAATCAAACTGACTAAAAATACTAGTTATTAAAAAAAAAAGAAAAAAAAGGTTGATTAACTTAATAAAATAAGTTTAAATGAAAATAATTAACATTTTTTTTATGTGATGGCTTTTTGACATATTTTTTTTTTACAGTGTATCGTAAATCAAATGCATAAATATGTAGACATCGAACAGTCATAAAAACAGAATTCAGCAAATGTTGGATTAATAAATCCTTCCAAGGCTCATTTTATAAACATACCTTTATATACATTTCTGGAGAGCATACAATTTGTTTTTGCAGTTTTTGTTTTTGCGAATCCAACAGAGGCCGCTGTGTATGCTTTTTCAGATCTCAAATTTCTCTCGGGAGTGTCATTCGTGCCTGCTCGTCTCATGTAAATCCACTAGAGACCTCTGTCGACTGAATAACTGACCCATTGATTGTGTTTTCAAAAGCACTGATTGACCTGCCCTTTCACACTCTTTAAACAGCAGTAAAACAATAGTGAAGGATCCAAGTTGCAAGTGAAACTTTACTGACCAGAGGTCAACAATAATAGCGCAAAGAGTCCAAAAATATTCAAAAAAGAAAACGTAAAACATAACAAGATGTAGTCAATAGCGACGAGAATTCAGACCGTAAACCAAACAACAGATCAGGAGTCTAGAGAAGAGTCCACGTGAATCCTGACAAAACACAGAGTAAAGTAGCTAACAAGGACAAACTGACAGAGAAACAAAAGACTGCGGCCCAGATAAGCCAGGATAACAAACCAAAGCTGGTCGCTGGTGCAGCACAGCTGAACGACAAGCAATAACCCACATGACCACAACAATACTGACATGCAACAGCAAAATGCACGTGGAAAAACAAACCTTAATCACGTGATCACACAGACAACCAGAAGTGTGCACACACCTACTGTCAGACATGACATGCTCACCCACTTTCCTAAAGCCAACCGGCAGTGTTTTTGAAAGCAATCCAGAAAAAGAAGAGCCCTTGCGGCAACCTGATTTTTACCACATTACAGATTTTACCACATTCTCACCGTGTCATTTATTGTTTATTTCAGTTTTTCCCCTATTTTTGTCTTACTTGCTTTCTGAAACCGTTCTTCGCCAGACTCAACACATCACAAGTCTGCCGACATATACAGTTAGCCACTGGGCAAGCTGGTAACAGCGGAATAGCCATTCATGGGTGCTCAGCAGTTAAGCAAGAAAAGGAACATTTAAAGATGAAATGCAGCCATACGTACTTCTGGCTACATATTTCACAGTCTCCAGAAATGTATATAGAAGTACGTTTTCAAAATGAGCCTATGTTGAATAAATCAAAAGTAGTGCTAGACAAAAATAGACCAGAAAAAAAGAAGTTTTAAGTTAAAACTGATTCCAAAAAAAACATCCTCCTTAGTAAATCAAAAGCATTCGCTTTAGGCTCATGCTCTAATTAATGAGGAATTTTTATTGAATCAAAAATATACACAAAAGTGTAATTTCAGACTCAAAGGTATGTATTTTTTATTGAATTCTCTATAAAGAGAACAAACATTGTTTAGTCCAATACCCAACCAAATAATTACTCTACAAGCAATCTTTTTTTTCATTTCATTGAAAAACGCTACAGATTTCTTGTAAAGAAAGAAGAAGCAGGAAGCATTGTAGCTCATTGTAATGAAATGTAACCCTAGCACAGCCTTTTAATAACCTTCCCGCAATCGATATGCACATTACTACTCCTGTATAATTCAATATGTATATAACCCAATACGTTTCTGCCGCTAAAAAGGCTCCTTGGCTATATTAAGAAGGATATGAAACCATATCATACATTTCAATTCTTAAATTTCACCTCCCAACGGACTCGAGCAACCAAGCGCCCATGTAATTAGAAGCTTCTTTGTTTGAACTTTCTGCCATGACCTTTTACTAGCTCGGTAAACAAATGAACAAGCATTCCCTCCCCTCCACTATCCCCTAGCAGCGAGGCCTCGTGGGAAATGTAGTCCAAACTTGTAATACTGAAAAGGCTGTCTTCTCAGGTGTACATTTTTTTTTTCATTCTCTACAATATCCTGCAAGGCGACGGTGTCCTAAATGCAATTACTGTACACAGCAGAGCGGAGCAGAGAGGGTCCGCAGGGAACGCCGGTAAACAGGATGCAGTCAGGGGGTGCGGGAGTTCTGCTGCTACCTAATTTAATTGGCGCAGCTACTCAGCTAGCCCCAGGTGACCACTACATGGAATCTTTGTAAAGAATACGTTTAAAATCACCCTAGGCTACAATGATGCATCTTTTTTTCCTAAGATCCCTTCATGCTGACGGGGCTTTTTTATTGCTTTCCCTCCATCCCAGAGAGGTACTGTCGTCGTCATGATGAGTTTATAAAGAAGATATTAAGAGCGTAAACAGTGATGGTACCGCTGAGATGAAAAATAAAGAAGAAAAATGGTTTTAAGGGGGAGAGGGAAAGCGGGACAGAAAAAGAGGCTGTGTTGTTATTTCTCAAACAATCCACATAAAATTACTGAACCTAATTCAGCACATATAGTGTTTTCTTCACTGCTTTAGCTTCAAAATATGCACATTATTCCCTCAGACTGATAAAAGATAAAAACAAAGTTGTTTGGAATATCCTTGAGTCCTTTTAACATCTGAACAAAAGCATATAATCTTTCAGAACATGATAAATAGCAGTAACATGGCTGCAATAGTAGATTAAGATTGGACAGTCACAACATTCTTAGGCATGTTATTCCAAGATAACAACCACTGAAACTAATAACTCAGGCTAATAACACATTGGGATCTATCATACACCTGGCACAATAAAGTGCAAGACCTGTTTGGAGGAATTTGTTGCTATTTTTAGACCAGCGCAACCCTAGTTTTCACGTTTTGCATCAGATTGTTTAAATAGCAAATCCATTTGTGCCAGTTTAAGGACTCATGGGTGTTCTGGTGTGTTAAGGTGCATTGTTGGCGCGTTGCTACTTTGAGGAACTGAAATAGACCACGCCACTGACCAGCTGAAAGCAGAATTGGAGGTTGCTCGTTCTTTATCCTCAAGCTACAGATGGTCTGTTTAACTGTTTTCTCACTAGTGAAGCATTTATTTTTTCCACTTACAAGGTTTGCTATGTAAATAACAAATTAATCATGGCATAATGCAACTGGCTCTTAAAGGGAATGGTAGATTAGACTCTAATTGGTTTAATGCACCTTATGCTCAAAACACTTTCGTAACTCATTAAGAGAATAAGTACACCCCAGTTAGACCATGCTCCAAGGCGTAGAGTGTATTTTTCTGTCATTAATATAGCAAAATTGGATGTAGATGTGCTTTAGACTTTGTGTTTAGATTGTTAAAATAGACCCCTTTAAATCATTTTGACCATCAGTGAATACATTTACACATCCATATTTATATCCGTCTTTGTTCTGGACAGTTTGGCGCCATCTTGTGACTGAATAATATTTATGTTAGTGTATCCTCCATTCAACAATTTTCATTTCTGTCAGCGTTGCATTTAACTAAAGATTTAATAAACCATTATGGCTCAAAACAATTTTTTGTCTCTACTTTTATGTTTTGTGCAGCAATTAGCCATGTAATAAGCAGGATAAAGTACATCCAGATGGTTTATCCTGCAATAAAAACCACCTGGATGTTCTTTATGCCTTACTTAATAAAAGCTTTGTATTACCAATGTTGTATCACCAATGTCTTTTGTGCAGACAGATTTTTTAGTTGCAGACATCACTCACATGGAAATAACTTGCAAATAGTGATGTTTTGTTTATATGTACAACAATCAGCGTGAACAAAGTGGGTGCATGTTTCAAGTCCAACATTTTCTTCCTGAAATAATGTTTTGAAATAATTAGTGGTAATGGTGATGAAAGATAATACTTGTAATATACAAAATAAATGTAGAATTATAAACAAAGAAAAAATCTGAATCAATAAGCACTACCAAATTTATCCTCTTGAGACAATAATATCCTTTAAATCACAGTCATCAACTTATCTCCACATCAGAAGGGACAGATTCAACTAGATCCATCAAATCATCACTCAAAACTCATTCAAGCATTAGTTTGGCACACACAAATAAGTGCAGCTATTTTACAAATAACAAAATCATCTGAAAACAGGATTCAGATCCTTTAAACCATCAGCCAGTATTCTGAGAGGGCTCATTAACCGATTCTCTGATAGTGGAAGATCCGTTCATGTCTCATCTTGAGTCTATGTCAGCCGTCACACAGTCGCGAGCATGCAGGAGCTCTCACTCATTGCTGGAACATTCCAATTACCTTAACAACAAACTCATCGCTCACATCATCAACTTCCTCTAATTTGAGGCACTGTCAGATTAGCGCTTGACTTCTTGCCTACCCATTATAACATTCAGGAAAATATAAAAAGTTTAACGCCAGCACAGGCACACCATAGACCCAGCAAATGATGTCTGATGACGTTTCAGCTCGATTAAAAAAAAAGGATTTGAAACTGTGCTTACCTGAAACGGCGAGAATATCTGATCAACCGAGCAGCACATGGAGAGAGAGAGGGAGAGAGGGAGAAAGAGAGAGAGAAAGAAAGAGATGGCTATTAGGCCTGAGGTAATCAATCAATCTTAATTGATTATTGCCATTAGATTTAATCTCCATTAAATCTAATTAACTGGCCATTAAAGACTTCTTCAGGTGGTCAGCATTCCTGGGATAAAAACTGTCACACAACTGCAGTGGCATTACAGTAGTACATCAATTATTTCTTGACAAGAACTAAGTCTTCGTTCAACCTCAAGGAGGAAACACTTTAAAAAGGACGACTGCTAATTATTAATGAGGGAACGCATGTTTAATTTATTCCTCTAGAGCAAGCAATATTTATTTATTTCTTCAAAAGATTCTGCAGGTAAAGAGCATATTTTTTTCATGTTTATTTAATTCAAGTTTATCATATTTACTCCAAAAGAGCTTCTCTCCAAGTTTTGAGAGGAATGAGCCGGGAAATGAGTATAGTTGACCTGATGTGATTATGCAGATAGCAAATTGAATTTAATTTGCTCATTAATGGAGGTGAAGTCACTGTGTGTCTGTTTGGGTTAGGGTTAGTTTATGGTAATTAAAATTAGCTGTGTATAAATTTTGAAACCAGCTTTACAGACTCAACTAAGGTGGAAAGAGGGAGTATCAGGGGGGTTTGGAGGCATGTTTCTGGACATCGTTTTAAGTATAATGTTGAAATTACATTTTAAATTGTTGTTTTTGTCTGTAGGAAATAAATATATAGCTTAAAAAAGCTATATCTTAAATGTGTAAAATATGAAAAATATGAAATATATGAAAAAGGGAAGTATTTATCAGAGGTTGAATCAACTGAATATTTTCCGTCATTGACAGATTTTTTTCAGCAGTGACGGAAAAATCTGCAGGTGATCCGTCATTTTGACGGATTATCCTGAGGGCGATCTATTGTAATTCGTAGCTAACTGTAATTTTTACTCTTGTCCAACTGATGGCGATCACCCTTATTAATTTGGAGCGTTTTTACTGTTTTTTAGTTTAATTTATTAGTTTGTGAGCACTACAGAATGCAGAGGGGTGCACCTGCGCCCCCGGTGCAGAAGAAGCACGTGCTGCAGGATTTTTTTTCCAGTGAAACGAGTGCTTGCATGATCGGGAAATTCCACATTCAGAGAATCCTGCAAACTTCTGATCACTTTCTTAGGAGAAATGTTTCCTAACTTCAAAACGCTGGCTGAAGTGGCGCTAGTAACTCTGGTCTCCTGTGTGGTAGCAGATCGCGGCTTCAGTCTCTAGAACAAAATTAAAACTGTCTTGAAAAGTCAACTTTCCAAGGCAAAGACACAGAATATAATGTCAGTTGTCTCTGTATCAGTCTCCCTTGATGCGTTTGATTACGCACAGGCAAGCACCCTGTTCAGGTTGACGCGGACCAGGAGGAAGTTATAAATTAAGGCAGATAGACCTATAGAACATCGTCTGAATAGTCATGTTTAAGTTGTTCTTATTTTAGTCAAAATCATTTTTTATAATATATTTTGTTGTTTATATCTGCCTGTGTTCAGTCACTAATAGTCGTGTTTTAATTCCCTCCACTGTCAGTGTAAAAAAACCCACATGAAATTGTCAAACAATCAATTAGATGAAGTTTTTGATCATTTGTAAAATAAATAAATGAATAATTTCACCTATACGCTTGTCGTGCAAGTTCATGATTAAAATATGAATGAAAAAAGCGATTAGAAAATATGCTTACATTTGCAAACATTGCAGTTACCTCATTTAACCAGTAAATATATGTCTGACATTTTATGCAATATGTTTCATTTAGCTGGGTTTCCTGTACTTTAAACACTTTAAAAACCTTTACCAAAGCATACTTTTGCCATATATTATAACTTACACAGATTTTCACTCAGTATATGTTTTAACATTAAGAATATTTTATTACCTAATTTGTATTACTTGTTACATCCATTAAAGTGTCATTTAAGCCACTTTATTACATTACGTTGTTTAATTGTGAAAGCGGTACAGTAGAACATTAAAACAAAAATAAGATAAAAAAAAAACTGAAGGCAAAAAAAATTATATTAATAATTTGCCTTTTTAATTAAATTAATAAATGCTAAATATGCTCTGCGAGAAGTCTGTCTTATGCTGTGTTAGTAAAGTCGTGTTAAACCATAACTAGACAAGCTTGCGTTATGTCTATAAGACAAGTCCACCAAATAACCATTATTAAATCATAACCTATAGCTTGAGGAAAAGACAGTACTACCCAAAAACAAGTTTTAAGTACTATTTCCTCAACGTTTTGGATAAACACAGACTGCCATACACAACTGTGACTCTGTGAACATATCAACGTTTCTTTGGCACGAATAGATTCATTTGTGGAGGTGGGAGGGGCATGGTCTTAAAATTTAACAAAATGAAAACATTTGAAATGAAACATTGAATGTAGACATTCCTTTCACGTTACTTACACATCAATAAACAAAGACTAACAAGTTATTTTTTATATAAATGAGCCGTTTTGACGGTTGGTCGGTTACAAAGGAGGGTGTACAGTAATACACATATTTTCATGAATAACCAATCATCATGCAAAGTTACAAATATGATAAAATTTAAAATTATTTAAATAATTTATAAATATACATATTTAGGAACTAGCAAAGATAAAATATTTAATAACATTTACATTTTTTCCACCAACATGGATAGACAATAAAATAAAATAAAATAAATTGAAAAAGATTTAAAATAAAAATTTATATTAAAAATAATAAAATTAAATTAAATTAAATATTAAATTAAATTAAATGATATTGAAAAAAAAATTATTAAATTAAAATTAAATTAAATAAATAAAAAATTTAATTAATTAAATTAAATTAAACGTTCAATAAGAAGCGTAAATACTAAATTAAACACACATCTAATTTCAAACAAAGGAGAAAACAACACACTCGAACACCATTAGCCAAAATCTGTTTTTTACTGTCTACACATCAACACTGCAGCCTAAAAATCCTCACCAAGTCTGGCATGAGTTTCAAAAATGGTTTGGTTTTAAAAAATACACATTTGTGTAAACAGAGCCATAAAGTGTCCTTGTAGAGACAGGTGGGATGTGGCAATACCAGGACATCAGCCATCAGGGGAGCGCGAGGGCGTCAGTAATCAGGTGGATAAGGATGAGGAGAACTGGACGGCCTGAAGTTACAAACTCTGCCAAGGTTCTGTGCGACACCTGGTCCACCAACATTTGAGCCCAAAACACAGGGCCATGTGCCCTGACACAGCAATTACCACCGCCATGATTAAAAAACAGAGCAACAACTCACTGACTAGTGCTTTGTGATGCATGATAAACACCTATTTCTCTCTTTTTTGAGCCTTACAACACAGAGAATCTGGCTTTAATTCACATCCGGCACTGACACCCTCAGAGGTTCCATTCTTCTCCTCATTTCAACCCAGGCTTCTTTCCTGCCTTGTAAGTGCCAAGAAAAAAAGCTTTGGCTCTTATTTTTATCTGTCTCCTTCTACATGACTGGCAATCAAAGGCGATCCCACTTATTAGAATGAGTAAAATTAGTCACGCTCGCGTTACTGAAGTAACAGCACCATCCCACAAACCCCGTTAAAAGGATGTGTGCGCCCTCACTACACATTCATAATGAAATATCCGCTTAGATCTGAATGAATATGGATTCCGGAGGATAAGGCAGACTTCAAGAGACTGCTTCTCTCCACACACCACCGCACACACTAACACAAACACATTCACTCTCTCTCTCTCACTCACTTTCGCCTGATGCCAGCATAGTGATTGTTCTCAGCACATTCATCCTGATAGTGCACATTATGCTCACTAGGAATGAAGGAAATAAACAGTAGAATGTACAAGAAGGAAAACAAGAGGCAGTGCATTTCAGCACAATGTGAGATATACTGTGAGCTACTCCGGCAGTTAAATATTTATGCTAAAAAAGTTCAATAATCAAAGAGTGAAACATGTAATATTGTGTGATTTAATAATAATAATAAAAGAAGAAAATAATTAATTTACAATGTAACAGATGTAAATGTAATTCATTGCTGTAACAGGAAAGCTACATTTTAAGTATGGTTACTCCAATTTTTGTGACACATGCTTCTTTAGAAATCATTTAATTAAATTTTAATTTAGCGCTCAATTATTATTGATTTTCATTCATTAATAATGGCTCGTGTTATTATCAATTTTAAATACAGTTTCAAGTGTCTGACAATATTAAAAGCCAAATTAACTTTTTTTTTCTTCTAATTTTCTCAATATAGCTGGCACATTTTTTTTTACGTCAGTCATAATTGCTTTATTACACAACGTATTACATTCTATAACTCCAGCTCGTTTAATTTCATTGTCCTTCCTTGATCTCAGTTCTGACTAATTACAAATAAATGTGTTGATTACAGTTGAATTCTTGATTTTTTGAAAAGATGAGGCCATGCGCAGCACAAAATGGCAGTGGTGTTTAAGCCTTGACTGATATTTCTTTTACCACAAGCCATATAATCATGCACACTGAGAATAAAGCAAATGACCCGTCATTTCTGTGATTGGACTGCCATTTTCAGGTGCTAATTCCATTTCCTGTGAACTCTCAAAGCTGCTGGCTGATCACACAGTGAAGAAAAGGCTCACAATGCCCAACAGGTGGTCTACAGAATTACAGCCCACCTAGATCAACCCCTCGGAGGCAAGTGATTAAAAAATAACACTTACTCCATTTCTTAACCGCTGGGTCACAATGACCTCTCATTTGGTTACCGCCATAGTGAACAACTATTTTTACTTTGCTACTGTACTTTTAAGAACATTTGTTAAGTATTTGAATGGTAAATGAGCTGAATCATGTCATTTATTCAGTTCAATTGTTTACAAACTTAATTTGCGAGTTGAAAAACTAAACAAAATGTTTTTTTTAAAAGTAACAAATGAACGGTCATG